TTGTTAATAATTTTACCTTCAAAAGAATTTGGTAATGATAACTATAATCAATAGCAGGAAAACTCTAAATATTATGATCACTAAGCAATTATACATAATAAAGTTAAAATGGTTAGGGTTTGTATATAAATAATACAAATTAATAAAAAAATTTTGGGGTTGTGATTTTATTTGGGAGCAAGGTACAATTTTATAAATACTAATTAACACCAAGAAAATTCATTAAGATAATCACCAAGGATTATAGTACTGAAAGTTGCTAAGATAATAGAACAACACTAAGAAAATACATTAATTATCCTAATTACTAGAGTAACATATTAAAAAAATCAAGTTCAAGTCCAAGTCCAGAACTTAAGAACTCAAAAGCTGAGAGAAAACTCAGCCTTTATATACATTAAAATTTTATCCAAATCTTGGTTGATTTTATGTCTGTAGATGTTTGTTTATGCATTATCCATATATCTTTGTCTGTACTACGGATTTACATTAAGTTACAGTGATTTTCAGAAGAAACCATAATTCATATTATGTGACTAAATTGATTAACTAATGAATAATAACTATAATACTATGATATATAATAATTATTATTATTTAATTTGTTTATTTGATTTTTAATGCTTCATTTTCAGTGTCTAATTCTGGATTTTGTTCTAAGAAGTCATTTGATTACTAAGTAAAATAATAATATAATAGATAAAATAGATAAAAATAAAGATACAGGCTAACAACATTCACATAAGAAATATTATCAATATTGTTCAATCAAATATAAATACTGATATTGATGAAATAAATCATTACTTGACAAAACTAGTTGTATTAGAAAATATAATCCATTAGATTGGTGGCAAGTAAATATCAAAATTATTCAAAATTGCCAGCAACCTCTGTTTTATCTGAAAGATTATTTCACCTACTAATGATATAATTATAATAGAAACCCAATTGGATACAGATTTAGTTGGTAAAATGTTTTTTAAAAAAGAAATCTTAATTCAGTGAAGGTTTTGCAAAAGAATGAGATGAAATTGAAGAATAAATAGTTATAAAAAATTATAAAATAAATAATAATTTTTAAAAATGATTTCCTTTATTCATTTTAAAAAAGTAATTAGGAATTCATGGATACATTCTAACCAATTTTGAATATTTAAAGGTTAGGATTATAATTCAATTTGACTAGTGGTGATAGTGATTATATATAGAATAAATATATTAGGTGATCGTATACAGGAAAAATAAATATAAAAATTGGGACTGAAAAAAGGTGACTATAAGCAGTTGGTGATTATATATGATGTTATTTTATACAGGTCTGACTAATAGGATAAGATTATTCTAATCAAAAGTAGATCTCTGTTGTAGTTGCATTTTTTCTTATGAAATCTGTATCATTTATACTTACAAAATTTTTTGATAAAGAGAAAATTCTATATCATAATTGATCTGCTCTTTATTCTGAGTATTATATTCATGGGATATAATAGGTGCTGTTCATTTTTTTCTTTGAAATTTACCTTGATTCAGATAAAATGCATTAATTGGGTGTCATTAATTTATATAACAGTTATTATATGAATCAGTGATAAATAAATATTAGATTTAATTTCCAATAAAGTAGTTTCACAGTATTCTATATATAATCCTATTTATATTGTTTGATTAAAGCAGTTCTGAATGCTCTATTATTTTTTTAAGTGATGGGACAAGTGATAATTGTAAAAAAATTGAAAACTATTGTTTTTAATATGCGGGATTATTCTTGTATAACAATTGATTACTGAATTTGAAAATGTAAACTTTAGAACAAATTGGAGTACTCCATAATAAAAGAGAACAAAATTATCAAAAGATTTTTTTAATCTAATAAATTTATCAAGCTTTGGTTTAAAAGTTCATCTGTGATAACAGATCCCAATGTTTTTAAATTTTGTTTGTTTTTATTAATTAAATATTCTTATGGAATTTGGTATTGTGTATTTATCAAAGAATCAGAAAAAATAATTCTGGATAATTAATGTAAAAAAATCTAAAGTAAATTTGAAAAAAAAAATGCTGAAATTATTGCTAGCCAGTAGGCCATAACTATAATCATTTCATTTAAAATAGTAATATTTCATACTAAAATTATCTTTTAATTGTGGGCTTGGAAAGAAATCAAATCATATTTTTTTGCATTATTTTTACTAGACTTTAGAAATGAGAAAATTAAATTTGTTTTCCTGCATAATTTTCTTTAACTTGAAATAATTCAATTAAATTTTAATTCTCAAGTAAGAGAGTGATTATTTTTGAATTCTGGTATAATTTTTTATCTTCATCTTTTGCTTGTTAAATTAGTTAAAGGCACTCCCTTTTGGGCAGTTGATTTTTGTTTTTTATTCTCTTGATAAGTAAACAATAAATGAACATTTAAATACAGAACTATATTCTAGTTTAAACTTAAATTCTTATTATTTGATATTTTTAAATTCAGGCTCAAATTATATTATTTTCACCTACTTCATATTAATAATCATTATCATTTAAAATTTTTATAAACAACCTCTCTCTTAATTAATATTAAAATAAACTATCTTCTTCATATTCTATTCCCTTTTTTGTAGCATAGAAACATCACCTTTATGTAAATGCTATTTTTGTCTCTGAGGGGTTAGTTCACTGTTAATAGTGATATTGACCCTTGGTTTGTTTTGAATATAAGCTAATTTTCCTTCTTAAAGTACTAAATCATAACATATGGTTTTCTTTTTTATATAACTTAGATTGATTTAACATTTAATATGTATAAAATAAAATTATAACTAAAAAAATTCCAGATGATGACAATGAAAAAAAAATTAAAAAAAAGTGAAAACGAATACTTTATCTTTGAACTTCAACTATACTTTAATGAAAAGTGATTTTTCATTCCAAGGAGAGATTTGGTATTTTTGTACCCGATGTAAAATTTAATATTATGTTTGGATTCATTCAAATGAACATTCAAATGAGCAAACTGCGTGCATTGTCTTCTTCGAAATGTTATTGTTCAAGATCATTTGATAAATTCTTAAAATTGTGTAATTAATTTAAGATCATGAAATGAAAGAAATTAATAAATCATCAGCCAGAAATATTCTATTTGTTGTTGTGTTTTTATTGTTTTTATTATAAATGAATCAAAATAAGTGGTAGAAAAATGTAGTATAGTAAATAAGTGGTGGAAAAATGTAGTATAGTATTAAATAATTAATATAACAACTGTCCTGCCAATTTTTGTTTTTTTATTAGCGAATCAAATAAAATAGGATTAGGTAAGTGGAAAATCTAACAACCTTTTTGCCAATTTTTTCCATTTATTGTCACATTAATTTCTTTTCTCCTAACCTATTCCCATTCATTCTATCTACTGAATTTAGAATTTCACTGAATATCTTCACTTTTTCTCCCACTTGACAACTTATCACAGAAATTTCCACACATTGTGTATTAATGTATAGTTAATTTTTACTTGAAAATTATAATGTACATATGGAATAGATAGATAGTTTTAACTTCATCTTTTAATTCTGAGTCTTTAGAAATTTTTCTATTAACAATTAAAGAGTACTTTACTTGAAATCTTTTATAAGTCCATCAAAAACTACTAAATGTAAAATAACTTTTTCTTTTCAAAAAAAAGGTTTAATTATAATATTTAATGTTTGATTATTATTCTTTTTTTTTTTTGACTTTTAATAGTTGAAAGTAGTGGAAATAATTCTTATTAATACTTTTAAGAATTAACTCATATTAGAATGATTGATCTTCGAGTAAGTGAGAAAAGAAAATTTCATTGTTAAAAAATGATTTCTTACTTAGCAAAATTATACCAAGAAAGAGTTCTCAATTATTTTACAATAAAGTTCACTATCCAACTTTCCATCTATTTTACAAAGGTTTCCTATACCAAGTGGAATGGAATAATTCCATGAGCAAATACCATTTCTTAATTAATTATTTTTTTTGAAACCATGTGAAAGTGGAAAACAGAAATATATCCAAATGCTATTGTTGTATGAAACATTTTTTCCGGTCTTTTCATCATCAATTACATATGAATGTTGTAATTATGAATTTTTGTTTAGAGTCTTTTATAAATGAAAATAATATTTTGTAAGATTTTGTTTTTTTTAAAAAAAAGTGTATTCGTACATATGTGAGTTTTTAAAAATTCTTATATAATTCAATACTATTTAATCACTCTTGAAATTGAAATTGTTGTTATTTGTTATTTGTACTTTTGTTTAATTGTTTTTTGGCGATGTGTACAAATGACGTGAAACAATTTAAATTATTATTAACAATTGTTATTATTTATTCAAATGACATTTTTATAAATGCATATCCTTGTTTTCTACTTTAAATCATATTAATCATATTTCTAATATTTTTTCTACATTTTTTTTATCTATATATTTCGTAATCCTTTAGGTATCTCAGGAGATTTATCTATAATTATATTTTTTATAATAATAATTAAAATCTAAAAGAAATTTTTATCATTTTTCAAAATTTTTGTCTCCCTATCTTGAGTGATAATATTGATTAAATTAATTATATAAAATTGAATATTTACTTGAAAATTGAGCTACAGTTTTCCGGGAGTAATATATTTGTCAAAAGACATAATTTCATGGACAGCCAGCAGAAATATTATATGTTCTCTTATTGTGTTGAATTATGTGGACCAATTGAATTGTCAAATATAAAAAGTCTACATAACTCCACTGCCTCGAATTCATAATTATTCATCTCCTTTTGCCCTCATAACTAGTAACTTAAATCTGAATTCTTCCCTCCAAAACTTTCTATGTATTTATTTATTATGATGTCAGAAGTTATGATATTATTGAAAAAATTTGGTCAAGCATGACATTTAAATTGACGCTTAATATTATTAAAGTAATAAAACTTTATTTCTATTGTGTTCTTTTAATTTTCATTGAATGATATTTTAATGATAATGAGTTCTACTTAGTCAAATGCCAACTTGAACAATCTGGGTACACTATCTCAACTTTGACTATTAATCACTAATTATATTAAATATAATTTTTTAATATATTCTAGTGTAACAATAATATAGAAAAATTAAAGTGTAATAATAATAATATAGTGTAATAGTAAATTGAATAATTAATTTTAATTAAGTGATAAAATTAATAATGAATATTGTTGTTGCAGCTTCTTACGTTGCCGTGCTTTAAAAATAATATTGAGCTCCAGAACTCGCGTTATTGAAGCTTTACTCCTCTCATTAGCAAGAGCAACTTTGCTTTTTTGCTTCATTTTTAAAAGTAAAAATTTTATTCTATGTCTTTGAATTAATCTTATAGAAACTCATGTTATTTGAACTTGCATAACTCATACTATGCAAAAAATTTATAACATCTCATGTTATGAATTGATATTTCATGCTATAACATCAATGTCACCTAGTGAATTGAGTCAGTATGTACTGCGAAAATATTTTTTTCCTTTGTTTGATTCTATTATACATTTCGTCTTTTGAAACATAAAAAACTTTTGTAGCAATTTATGCTATGCATATATTTATCTACGCTTGTTGCTATGCCTCGATCAACTTTTTCATCCATTTTAGTGACTCAACCAACTTGCATACTTTGTAATAATCATTAGCTTTTGTTTTATAATTCTATACAAATTCAAATCCTTTTTCTTTTTTTTTAATTTTCATCAAACAATTTGTAATAAGTAGTCAATAAACCAATAACAACACTATCAATAATAAATTATCCTTCTTTTAGGTGTTGTGCTGAAATAAATAACATCACTATCAATAATAAATTATTTTTAGATGCTGTGTTGAAATCAATAAATTTGTGGTAAGTAACACTAAATTAATCTAGATCTAAGTTCTAGATGTGATCTTGAGGAGTGTTTTGTCACTGCTCAAGTGCCTTCTGTGGCGGTCAAAGATATATTAACTCAAGTAATCAACTTGTCGAAATCAAACAACATATGCTCTAACTTAATTTGCCTAACTTTTTATCACCTGACTTCAAGCATCTCCATTAAACGACTATCATACATTACAAATGTTTATCATCAAAATGAGAATTTTAATTTTTTTGATTTTGACAATTATATGATGGAATGAGTCTTCAGTATGAAAAAAAATCGGATAATAATATAATATTTGCAGATTCTGACAAGTTTTGGATTCCAATCTTGTTCAATAGCTCCAATTATCCATTTTAATGTTGAAAAATTATCATTTTCTCTGGATCATAGATCCTTTGGGAGTATATTTTTATATATCCGTCACCTCTAAAAATGATGATTATTTTTTTGTTCTATAAAATCTTTATTGTTGATATATTTCTATCTAATAAAAAGTGCAAGTCAACGTTAACTCAAGGATCAATTTATTATTAGATCATTAAAAACTAATTATTTTGGATATATTAAAGCTTATATGAAAGTCAAGTGCAAGATAATACTTATTATTTATATATAATCTGTTTTTGAATTTCTTTAATACTTTTTATATATTATAGACTGTTTCTGGGACAGCATACTTCTTGTGCCATGTCCTCACATTTTTGAAAGGTCGAAGATGAAAAAGGGATGTCTAATCTTTATCACTGATTTCCTGAACTGGTTGATTGAGTTTGAGATATTTGTAATAATTAAAGTGTAATAATTATTTAATAAATTAATTAAAGCTATTTCTTTAAAATCCAAATAAATGAAAAGTATAATAATCTAATAATAGTTTCGCATTTATTCGGATAAATCTAAAACTAAACACTTTAAAATAATTTTTATAGAAACTCTAACTAAACTAAAATAACTACTACTGAACTTTATTTTATAAATTGAATTAAATTTGATATTTCTTCTTCAAGAAACTTGTACGAACTTTTTTTTTTCACAATCCCATTTAATCCAGTCCATCATTTCTTTTGTGTGGTGTGGTGAAAGTAACTGATCAAGCAAAAATTAGTGAATGGGAAATGCAATTATATAATTTTGCATCTATATTAAGAGGCTTGATATCATTTATATTTGAAGAACTCGTAATGTACTCTTCGATATTTTTATTTTAAATTATATTTTCTCTCGCTTTTCCTTATAACTTTAAATTTGAAGCCTTAAAGTATTAGGCATCAAAAATTGTTATTTCATCAACTACTATATTTGTTATATTTTTTATATTTCAGTATTTGCAATATATTTGTTTGCAATGAAATTATATATTTTTCAGGCACAGTCTAATCTTTTTTAATTTAAATTTATTTTATTTTTTTTGTTTGTTTGTTAAAAGAATGTAATAAGTTGAATGGGAAGTCAAATAATTCAATAAAGTATAATAAAAGTGAAATATCTAAAAGAAATTATGAGGTTAAGTATACAATTCTTCTAGATTGCCTTGTCTTTGCTCAACTTAACAAAGGTAAAAAGTATATTTTCTGATAAAACAAATGTATAAATTATATAAAAAATATTAAATATTAAACAAAAATTAATTTATTAATTTATTTAAAATAAAAGAAAAAAAAATTAAATAAAAAGTTTAAAAATTAAAATGAAAAGACCTTCAATGCTGAATTTTAGGTGAAATATAAATGAAATATTTATTATGGTATGGTTATTACACGTAAATATGTAATAAGTAACGTAAGTAAAAGATAAAAGAAAGATATGATAGATAGATTTATTCTGAGATAAAAATGAAAACGTAGGAATGATAAATAGTTATAATAAATAGACAAATTCTTTTTTGAATAAAATGAAAAATAAATTCTTGAGAAAGATTTATTAAATAATAAATAATAATAAAATAATAATGACGCGTTTAATTAAAGCGATTTATTATTATTAATTTCAGATGCTTTTGTTGAAAAGTTCCAATTAAAAAAAAAATATGCCAGATAAAGACGCGAAATAATTTAAATAATTTTAAATAAATTACAGGAAAAAGGAGGAAATATATATATAATTTTCTTCTCATTATACGGTTTATTTAAAATGAATATTTGTTTACACACGTAAAAATGCCAAGATGGATATGGAATAGATTTAATGGAGTAAGGAGTGAAATGGATGAATATCAAAATATTTGTAAATTGTTGTAAATTGTTTTTTAAGACCAAATAAAAATCCTCAGTTTTTATAATCAACTACACGTGAAGCATTGCACATTTTTACTCCTTTGTTTACTTGCATTAACTCCTTAAAACTAATAATAATCTTTTGAAAAAAAAAATATGGCGAATGAAAAAGTCAAGGAAAAACGCGACACATGTCTATTTATATTTAAAATCATTATACAAATCAACAACAATCCCTTGATCGTTATTACAAAATTTACTTATCTTTATAACTTTTATATGCGATCGAAATTTCGTTCATCAATATAAGAATTTCTAATTATTATTTATAACAATAGCTTTTCACTTTTCGTATACCGTAATTGAGGTTAGTCAATAAAAAGACAATGAATTATTTTTTCTTATTATAGAAAAAAAATCTCTTCAGTTCTCGAATAATTGCAAAAAAACATTGGTAATTATAGATCACTTGAGTCTTTATAAAATAATTTTCAATAATTATCGGAATCATTATTAATTGGATCGGCAATTTTAATGCATCTCGGTGCATCAAAAATAAGAGATATGAAAAGTTAAAACTGTTTGAAGTTTTCGTTTCCAAAGAGCCCATAATCTCCATTCTCGTCTCGTCTTTTTATTTCTCTTGTTCCATTATTAATAATAATATTATTATTATGATTACTGAAGTTCAGATGATCACCATACACAGACTTCAATCTTATGAAAAGGAAATCATCAATATTTTTAATCGTTCAATCCATCATTCACATCTAAGAATACTCAACGAATCCATTATTATAAATAGGAATTATACAAATTATATGACCTTATGAGACTTGATAATAAATTTTAGGAATTGAAGGTAAAGGATTTACTAGAATACAATCATTAAATAATAAAGATTTTGATGATGATGATGATTGTGAGAAATAATAATAACATAAGGAAGAATATGTTGTCCAACCTCCACCTCCGCTACCTAATATGTCAATTAAATCTGTATCCATCATTTCAAAGGATTAATTTCAAGATGTTTATTCGAATTTAACGACAAAGTTAATGTATTGCGATCTCAAATTGTAATCAGCATAGCTCATCGAAAATATCATAATAACGATAAGATGATAATAATAATGATAATAATAATAATGAGGAATTTCTACTTACAACTCAAAGATTAGTATATTATTCAGAAACTAATCCACTCGAGTATTAATCAACAAGGACTAACCAATGAACTGTTAGAGATGTTTAGCTAAGATACTTCCTCAAGTATTATTTTTACAGATTCAACCACACTTAGTTTATTTTGCACAGTATTAACATCTTCGGAAAATATTATATCGATTGATACAATTTTAACAAAAAGATTTTATCATCAAATTTTTATAGAAGATATAAAGCAATTTTGGTACAAGGGTTATGATGGATAATATGATTTTGATAATATTATGATTAGTTCTAAAGATGTGAATATTTTATATTTAAAATTCAACTATTCATTATTTTAAAATTACTACTTTGAATGGTGTTAACGATCAATCCACTAATGAAGGTTATTAAAGGTAAAATATTTACGGTTATTTTATTTTTTTTAATTTTTGCAGAAAGGAGATTTAGAAGATTGTGGAAAATACTAGAATTTGAGGTGTGCGTTTTCTATATACTCAGTACTAGACCATTTTGATCGTGGCCTGATCTGTGCGTCATCTATTTTGTAGATTTCTTAACGCGAGCAGGAAATGATTATAATGCAAGATTATTTGAAAATATAGATTCTCACTGTTTTCTTTTATCGATCTTCTGCTAAAATTAATATAGATACCTTTTAATATTATTCCATATGTCATCACATTGTTTCAGCCGAATTATCACTATTATCAACAGGTGTACTATTTCTTAATTTCCTTATAGAAACTTCCGTACTAAAAAATATATTCATGACTAAAGAGATTATATAACTAAATATTGTTTAAAGAACCAATTTACAAATCCTCACGAATTTTTGCTTGTTAACTTGCTCATTACTCCGACCACAAGAGAATGAAATCAATATCACATAATTTTCTACCATATCTATCGTTTCAACAGATACAAACTGCACGTATTTTTTGCATTTGTCAATAGTTTCATTCAACTTAGACTTTGCATAATTCAACTATTAAATATTGTAAAGTAAGTTTCTTATTGTAATAAATATCTATAGATAATAATAATTTACCTACTGTTTTAAAAGTAAATGTCATATTTCTTTTTAGTTGCTTTTGTAAGTTTGATAACAAAAAGTTTCTACATCCGGGATGATTTCTCAATTATTTAAAGAAATATGTATATCAGATGATGACTTTCAAGAATTGTTAAAAGAAACAACAGAAGCAGGAATAAATGAATAACAAGAGTGAACCATCAACCCCCCACTTCGAGTTCCTGAGTTCTTGCGGGAGCTCGAACATAAAAAGAGGAGTGTGTTACTATTTTTTTTATCCTTTTCGTTATTGTCGCGTTTTTGCTCTTGTTCCCATCCATCACACCCCGTTACCTTTAATTTTCATCTATATAATCTTTCTTTATTTGTCGTCGCCCCCTCCTTCTTCTCATCTTTCTCTTTTCTTGAGATTACTTATCAATACTTATTACCCATTTATCTTCACTTATTCATTTACCTTATACTACCCACTTCATTTTCACCCTTTTCACCATTCCAGTCAGGGAATATACCAAATTCGGATTACTGACGATCACACCTTATTAAGTAAGGAACGCTGATCAGATTTTTCTAGATCTTTAATGTTTCACAAATATTTAATATAAAAAAAAATTTTAAATGCGAGCTTGAATCACTTTAAATATACTGACCACACGATATAAATATATTTAGATTTACATGTAAAAAGTTAGTAATCGCTTAATAGAAGCTTTTTATAATAAAACAAAATAGACCGGAATTAAATAATATAACTTGCAACATACAACATAAAAAAAAATTTAATATAAAAAAATTTTAAATGCGAGTTACTTTGCTTGAATTCACTTTAATATACTGACCACATGATATTAATATATTTAAATTTACATGCAAAAAGTTAGTAAATTAAATAATATAGCAATATACAAAAGTAAAATCAATATAAATATTTTATTTGTATTTTTTTTATATTTAAAAAATATACTTTATTTAATAAAATGAACATGATACATTTATTTTTACAAATTTTTTTATGAATTTTTTAATGAATCTTGATTATTAAATTTGTTATCCGAGTTAAATAAACACTTTATTTCCTGTAAAATACTTAATAATTCGTCTTGCTTTTTTAATCTAAATCCAGAATATTTTTTCCAAGCAGTTTCAGATAGTTGTTCAAGGAGGGTTTCTATTTTTAATGAAATTTCTACCTTGGTCATGTTTTCTTTGTTGTTTTGCATATCTGCTTCTTGTTTTTTAATCGGAATTTTCCTAAAGAAAGAAGATGAGTTTTGGTTAATAAATATTTCAACAATATAATTTTTTCAGGCTTGTTTTGTCAAATAAGTAAAATTTTTTAATTGATCACTCAATTCATCATTTCCTAGGCTTTGATATGAAGTTCTTGTGTTTGCTGGATCAACAAATTCGTGACTTCTCAGATGAATTCAAATCATTGGCATTCTATAGTTGATTCTGGCTGAGTTCTCGATCCTGGTAATAGAAGATCATTGTATCCAATTGATTTAAATAAATTACTTCGAAGCTAAAAGTATATATATAATTTGTAAATTATAAATTGTAAAAATAAATATAAACAGTAAAAAAATATAAATTAAATAACTTACTTTGAAGAATTTTTTACAATTATGAGCTGCAATCTTCCAATGGTGATTCTGTGGAACAGGAGATATTAAAGTCTTTAGCATTTTGTTCACTTCTTCCAAAATTGTATCCAATCCTTGATGTTGCTCATAAATGCCCAACCTAGATACAACACAATATTTTTCTATAACCTCACATATTTATAGATATAGCTACATCAATTGAATTTCATCGAAAATTCTATTAGGAAATAAATAGGATGACGCCTTGAGACCAAATTGAAAAAAATATTCTTCTAGCAGCTCTTTTTAGAAGAGGATCATTGGTTTTTATGGCCTTCCGATAGTTAATAATTACTTGAAGATAAACAAACATTTGTTCATATTTTATTTGATAAAGTGGATCTTGTTGCTCTTTAGCCCAGGCAATATATCCTTCAACTAAAGGATTAAAATGAGTTTTTATATATGACTACATAAGTTCCATGACTATTGCTTGATGATATATATTGCAAATTGAATCTCAAGACTTATGGTGATCAATACATTTTTTAAAAAAAGAAAGTTGATTATCCATCTGATAACCTTGGCAAATCACAAATTGTTTTAAATTGATTTCCCTAATTATCAATTTAAAAAATATAATTTATTAATAAAAATCATTTTTTTTAATTAAAAAATGGAATTACCAATTCAGCTCTACATGTGCTTTAAGCATATTCATCTCCTCATGTAATTGTTCCAGGATAAGAATTAACCAAGAGAATTTTTTTTTTATTTTGGTAGCATGGTAATATGGGACACCATCACAGGTTACAGCTATCTATTTTTTCATTCTATCTTTAATACCTGATATTTTTTTTATATGAAGTAGAACCTTTTTGACATTTGCAATTAAGTTGAGGTTTAAATTAATTGGATCAGAAATATAGATCTCTGGAATATTAATTCCATGATCAGCTGGTTATTGAGTGAGACTAATTCAAGAAGAGAGCATAGCACTTGATTCCTGATTAAAGTTACAAAATTTAAATATAAGTGACATCATTGAATGATCAACAGTTTCTTTCTCAATATTAATTAATTTTTCTTTTTGAATTTCTACTAATGTAAGCAATCACGTTTTGCATTTTGGACATGTCTGTTTTCGATTCTCGATATTTTTTTGATGGCAATTAAGACACTGTTTTATACAGGTAATATTAATTTCTGCAGATGCTATTAAAGAGTTTATAGTATTAATAACAGATGATTTTTCTTCAGACAATAAATTAAAAATTTCAGATAAAAACTATATAATTCTCTATTAAGAACATCCTACATTTGGAATTAATTTTAAAAAGTTCTTCACATTGTAACCTATTGAGAGAATCAAATATTCAGGATGGATTAGTATGTTGAATCTTATTTTATAATACTGGTCGAAAATTGATAAAACATACGCATATCGGGTACCCAATATGTGCATGGTGTGTCCCTAATATCAGGTATATATCAGGTACTCGATAAGTGTAGAAAACATTTTTTTACACTTATTGGATACCCGATATATATATAAAATATTTTCTACACCTATCGGGTATCCGATATATGTCCGATATTAGGGACACACCATGCACATATCGGATACCTGATATGTGTATGTTTTATCAATTTTCAACCAGTGTAATATCATATTAAAAGCAACAAAACTGATAACAATATGAAAAATAACTATATTAAATTCTCAATTAAGATAATTTTTTTGTCCTCTTTGTTTATTATCAAAAACAAGAAATAAAAAACCTTTGGATAATAATTTTTCATTTTTTGACAACTCTTCTAACCATTTTTGAAACTGATAATAACTTCTCAAACTTGTAATATAATTGTCAATATTAATTGTCATCTTTGATCATGCAATTGAATATTTGATAATCAAGGCTACAAGATAAATCTCTGATACATATTTTTCATGTCCTGCTCTATATATTACATTGATCACAATTGCAATTTTAAAAATCTTTTTCTGGCTTAAAGTATTATCTTGATTGTTATGAATAAGCATTGTCACTGGAGGTTTCTGGTTCCCTTGAGATTAAACCAAAAGAGTAACTTAATGGTTTTTTTAAGGAATTTATAATTCTTTCTCAAAAGTAAGACTATTGTTTTATTATTTTAGAAGGCATCACTAATTCAATTATTTTAGAAAGGGAATTAGACCTTTCATCTAATTTATTCCAATATTTTTTCAAGTTTATCATCATCTTTTAGTATTAATATCCATCTATTAATCATCTTTTAATTTTATCAACTTGGAATAATAATTAACATGGATAATTAAAGATAATATTCAAAGTTCAGGATTTATAATAATAATTTATAATTAATTTCATTAACTCAGGAATAATAACATTATACAATTATATAACCAAGTATTTAATTCCATAATATTCATTATTCCTTTATTAACTACATGTTTTATTATTTTAATATAACCTTTATTTAATATTTTCAATATTTATTATTTTATTATCTTGAAGTTACAAATTATAAAATTAAATTTATCAATTTCAAATAAGTTACAAATTATCAAAATTCAAAATTAT